CCTGTGAATCTTCATTTTTGAACTACTCTTTCAATGACTTAATAATGCTCTTAAAAGCAAAAGTCGTATTTCCAAATACTATTTGAACTTTATATCAACACTTTCCAACCACAGTCTTTTTACAGTGATACCATATCAATATCAAGTCAGTCTGATTTTGCCTTTCATAGTAATGGCCCTTTGAAATTGTCCATAATTGACTTAATCTTCTAACGATTCAAAATGCTCTAAAATGAAAAATTCTTGTTTCCACAGGGTAATTCCACTCCAGATCAACAGTATACAACCTCACGATGTTACCATATCAATATCAAGACATTCTGATATTGCTTTAAAAAATAAAAGCATTTTCAAACTGCCCATATCTGAGTTGCTCCTGGAACAATTTCAAAATGCTCTAAAATGGCACATTCCTGTTTCCACAGGGTAATTCCACTTTAGATCAACAGTATACAGCCCCACAGTGATACCATATCAATATCAAGTCATTCTGATTTTGCCTTCCAAAGTAAAAGCCTTTTCAAATTGTCCACAATTGACCTAACTTTCAGTGATTTCAAAATGCTCTAAAATGGAAATTTCGTGTTTCCACAGGATAATTCTACTCCAGATCAACAGTATACAGCCCCACAGTGATACCATATTAATATCAAGTCATTCTGATTTTGCCTTCCAAAATAAAAGACTTTTCAAATTGCCAAGATACGACCTACTCTTTTAAAGATTTCAAAATGCTCTAAAAGTGAAAATTGCTGTTTCCACAGGATAATTTCACTTTAGGTCAACAGTATACAACCTCACGATGTTACCATATCAATTTCAAGTCATTCTGATTATGCCTTCCAAAATAATGGCCTGTTGAAAATGCCCATAATTGACCTAACTTTCAGTGATTTCAGAATGCTCTAAAAAGGAAGATTTCAGTTTCCACAGGGTAATTCCACTTTAGATCAACAGTATCCAACCCGACAGTAAAACCATGTAAATTTCATGTTGGTCTGATTTCGCCTTTCAAATTAATGGCCCGTCGAATTTGTCCATATGTGATATACTCTTTCAATTATTTCAGAATGTTTTAAAAATGAAAATTGCTGTTTCAACACATATTGGGTTTTCATTTTGAAAAGCAAAATCAGACTCAATTGATTATGACAGAATTGAATCATAAAGATGATGTAAAAGGAAGCTGAAATTGCCACTAGGTTGTAATTGATAGTACGTTTATATTTTAAGTCTGTGGAAAGATGTCATGGTTGGTTTGCAAGCTGTTTTGTAATTTCTTTATTTAGAATGACAACAGGAATTTTCCATTTTAGAGCATTTTGAAATTGTTCCAGGATCAAGTCAGATATGGGCATTTTGAAAATGCTTTTATTTTTGAAAGCAAAATCAGAATGACTTGATATTGATGTGGTAACATCGTGAGGTTGTATACTGTTGACCTAAAGTGAAATTATCCTGTGGAAACAGCAATTTTCACTTTTAGAGCATTTTGAAATCTTTAAAAGAGTAGGTCGTATCTTGGTAATTTGAAAAGTCTTTTATTTTGGAAGGCATAATCAGAATGACTTGATATTGATATGGTAACATCGTGAGGTTGTATACTGTTGACCTAAAGTGAAATTATCCTGTGGAAACAGCAAAATTCTTTTTAAGAACATTTTGAAATCGTTAAAAAGTAGGTCGTATATATGCTCAATTTGAAAGGGCTTTTATTTTGGAAGGCATAATCAGAATGACTTGATATTGATATGGTATCACTGTGGGGCTGTATACTGTTGATCTAAGGTGGAATTACCCTGTGGAAACAGGAATTTTCCATTTTAGAGCATTTTGAAATTGTTCCAGGATCAAGTCAGATATGGGCAGTTTGAAAATGCTTTTATTTTTGAAAGCAAAATCAGAATGACTTGATATTGATATGGTAACATCGTGAGGTTGTATACTGTTGAACTAAAGTGAAATTATCCTGTGGAAACAGCAAAATTCTTTTTAAGAACATTTTGAAATCGTTAAAAAAGTAGGTCGTATATATGCTCAATTTGAAAGGGCATTTATTTTGGAAGGCATAATCAGAATGACTTGATATTGATATGGTATCACTGTGGGGCTGTATACTGTTGATCTAAGGTGGAATTACCCTGTGGAAACAGGAATTTTCCATTTTAGAGCATTTTGAAATTGTTCCAGGATCAAGTCAGATATGGGCATTTTGAAAATGCTTTTATTTTTGAAAGCAAAATCAGAATGACTTGATATTGATGTGGTAACATCGTGAGGTTGTATACTGTTGACCTAAAGTGAAATTATCCTGTGGAAACAGCAATTTTCACTTTTAGAGCATTTTGAAATCTTTAAAAGAGTAGGTCGTATCTTGGCAATTTGAAAAGTCTTTTATTTTGGAAGGCATAATCAGAATGACTTGATATTGATATGGTAACATCGTGAGGTTGTATACTGTTGAACTAAAGTGAAATTATCCTGTGGAAACAGCAAAATTCTGTTTAAGAACATTTTGAAATCGTTAAAAAAGTAGGTCGTATATATGCTCAATTTGAAAGGGCATTTATTTTGGAAGGCATAATCAGAATGACTTGATATTGATATGGTATCACTGTGGGGCTGTATACTGTTGATCTAAGGTGGAATTACCCTGTGGAAACAGGAATTTTCCATTTTAGAGCATTTTGAAATTGTTCCAGGATCAAGTCAGATATGGGCAGTTTGAAAATGCTTTTATTTTTGAAAGCAAAATCAGAATGACTTGATATTGATATGGTAACATCGTGAGGTTGTATACTGTTGAACTAAAGTGAAATTATCCTGTGGAAACAGCAAAATTCTGTTTAAGAACATTTTGAAATCACTGAAAGTTAGGTCAATTGTGGACAATTTGAAAAGGCTTTTACTTTGGAAGGCAAAATCAGAATGACTTGACATTGATATGGTATCACTGTGGGGCTGTATACTGTTGATCTAAAGTGGAATTACCCTGTGGAAACAGGAAATTTCCATTTTAGAGCATTTTGAAATCACTGAAAGTTAGGTCAATTATGGACAATTTGAAAAGGCTTTTATTTTTGAGAGCAAAATCAGAATGACTTGATATTGATATGGTATCACTGTGGGGCTGTATACTGTTGATCTAAAGTGGAATTACCCTGTGGAAACAGGAATGTGCCATTTTAGAGCATTTTGAAATTGTTCCAGGAGCAACTCAGATATGGGCAGTTTGAAAATGCTTTTATTTTTTAAAGCAATATCAGAATGTCTTGATATTGATATGGTAACATCGTGAGGTTGTATACTGTTGATCTGGAGTGGAATTACCCTGTGGAAACAGGAAATTTCCATTTTAAAACATTTTGAAATCACTGAAAGTTAGGTCAATTATGGACAATTTAAAAAGGCTTTTATTTTGGAAGGCATAATCAGAATGACTTGATATTGATATGGTATCACTGTGGGGCTGTATACTGTTGATCTAAGGTGGAATTACCCTGTGGAAACAAGAATTTTTCATTTTAGAGCATTTTGAATCGTTAGAAGATTAAGTCAATTATGGACAATTTCAAAGGGCCATTAATTTGAAAGGCAAAATCAGACTGACTTGATATTGATATGGTATCACTGTAAAAAGACTGTGGTTGGAAAGTGTTGATATAAAGTTCAAATAGTATTTGGAAATACGACTTTTGCTTTTAAGAGCATTATTAAGTCATTGAAAGAGTAGTTCAAAAATGAAGATTCACAGGGCTTTTACTTTGAAATCCAAAATAAGATGGCCTTGATAGTGACAGGGCACAATTAGGGTACAAGGCTGTGTCATATAGATCTAACATTAGAGTTTGTAAAAAAAAAAAAAAAAAGCCTAAATTATATGTTATTATGTTCTTAACATATCTGTTAATTCACTCGAAGTTGGCTTTTATTTTGAAATCCGGTTTCCACATCCATTCCCGTAATACTTTGAATACACAGGGAACGTAAAACAAACTGGAGGCTGGCTTGACTGCAAGTCTCGAATTGGAGGCTGGCTTGACACCAGTGAAGTTTCTTAGGTTTTAACTTTCGTTGTCTGCACCGACAGCACTGAAACGAAACTGAAACTTGACGCATTAAGTTTTATTTACGCAGTAAGTGTTCCGGAGATGATTTATCGCTTCTTAAGGACGCAGTATCTGATTAAAAGCCTGCGCCACACGGTCAAATCACACCTTAAATAAATATGTCCAAATACCCGTGAAAAGAAACTAAGAAAGCAATTAATCAAATAATAAAATTATAATATTTTGTTTTATTATTTTGTTTCCTTTAAATGAAAACAGCTAAACAGCCTACTCACCTATGATCTTTCCATTTTTTTTCTTCTGTCGTCCAAGTTGTCCCTGAGAGTTGTGCCCACATGACAGCATGTCCCCGTCTGCATTAAGAAATAAAGTGTGCCGATCCCCACAGCAGATCTTAGTTACAACCCCGGGGACGGTCCAGGGCACGGGGCTGGGGGCCCCCTGTGACCCGAACTGTCCGCTGGAGCTGTCTCCCCAACAGAACAGCTGCATGTCTTCACCTGGACTCAAATGAGGACCTTGAGGGCTCTGTGATGGCAATTTAGCTCAGCTGATGCTGCCTTCGAGGGTTGTCGGAGATATTAGAGTCACCTCGTAAAGAAATCGACCATTCAGTCGCATATTGTATGTTTTTTTTCATAAGGGCTACCGTGTCTAAAACTGTCATTAATGCAATTATTTAATTAATTAACTAATATAATACAGATTTCTAGGCTACAGGGTGCACAATTTGTTCTTTCCAAAAGCAGCTAATGCAAAACCAAAAAGTGCTCCACTTTACGAGGTTGAACTTGAAGGCATCACGAATAAATGTGGAGGATGATACCAAATAAATAAACTACTGTGTATACTTTCAGTAACAATCAGTTCTTTTAACACAGAGCAGCTATTTTTATCTTTTTTTAAATTTTATTTAAGAGAACAGCAGTTATTGGGAATACAAACCATGATGCATTCATGCCAAAGTGGTGTCGTGTTTACAAAATACACACAAAAAGAGATTTATCAGACAGTTTGGTTTTAGATAATTGCAGCAAATCTCCTGCCTGTGCCAGCATACACCAAACATGTTTAATATTTATACATCGATATATACAGTTTACAGTATTATGTACTTACAAGAATTTATAATATGACGCTCTTCATTGTGTGATCTATCTGGCCCTGTGTTAAAAAGTTAACCTATTAACTGCTAACAACAGAATTCATGGTTTCATCAGTTACAGTGACTCGTCCAGATCCTGAAGCAGCAAAGCAGCCCCAGACCATTACACTACCACAAACCACCAGGTTTGACTGTTGGTTCTTTTTTTATGTGTTGTGTTAGTTTTACACCAGATCAAACCTTTTAAAAAGTTCAGCTTTTGTCTCATCAGTCCACAGAACATGCTCCGAAAAGTCTTGGGGATCGTCGAGATGTTCTTTGGTAAATGTGAGACGACCCTTTGTCATAACATCTCATATTTCCACCACAAAGACAGCTTTTTCTGATGTGTGACGAATCCCTCGATGTTCCTGGGCGTTTCGCTCGACTCACATGTGTTTTTAAAAGGCTCTTTGGCCTCATGAAACTTTTCTGAGCCTTTTGCATCCCACACAAAACGTTTGTGAAAGGTGGGATTTGTTTTTTGTGACTTCCTGGATGAGTCATTGGTATGTCGACCACTCCTTCACCGTTTTACAGCTGTGGATGACGTATCTCTGTGTTAGTCCAAATGCCCTTTCTAGACTGATAGATGTCAGTGACTATGTTTTCTGAAGTTTCTTTGCTTTTTAAGATCTTTTAGCCTTCTTCACTTTGTCAGACAGGTTCTGTTTAAGTGATTTCTTAATTAAAAAGGTCTGGTAGTAATCAGGGCTGGTAAATTCATGATTTAACAAGGGGGGAATTACTATTTCTCACAGGGTCATGTATAGTTGGATAGCTGTTTTCCCTCAATCAATGTAATTGGTAAATAAAAGCTGCATTTTCTATTGACTCAGATGATCTTTGTCTAATATTAAAATTTGCACATTCTTTGTTCAGAATCATATAATAATCTTAAGCCCATGTAACATTTGGTGTGTCTTGAGGAAACCAGCTGAATGGCGTCCTGTCAAAGGGACATTGCTTCAACTGGCCGCTAGGATCTTCCCAGCACCTGATTGGCTCATCCTCATCGACTGTGACATCTGAAATGTAGTACACACCTACAGACCCATCCCCAAAGCCCACAAACACACAGTGCTGCTCACAAATAACCAGAGCTAGTGGATTCTTAGACAGATGCACAGCTCCTAATCTCTCCCCATCTGAAAGTCGCGTGACTCGGAGGATGGGCCTCGCATGCAGGTAGCAGTCACAGCTGTCCTCCAGCCCGGAGGGCGTGGTTATGTAAGCAACATAGTGTCCAGTTTTGTCCAGGCAGGCTTTAATGACAGGACCCTCGACTTTGAATGAGCACAGTGTGACTCGAGACAGATTTAAGAGGTTAATTGCGCCGCTGTCAATGGACAGCAGTGCATAGCTGCCATTGGAGGACATTTGGAAGTCCTCAGGCTGACAGTGAAACATGTGTGGCAGCTGAAAGTGCCAGCACACAGTCTCCTCTGCCACCTTCCACGTGTACACCGTCCCTGAGGCCGCCATCACAACCACAAATTCTGGGTGCTGTGAAAGAGTTTGGAAAGCGACAACCTCCTCAGAGCTTTCCACACAGGAGAAACGTTTGCTAATCGAACCCGACCACAGACTGGCAGCCAGCAGGTCTCCATGGCAACAACCGAGCAGGTAGGTGCTCTCAGGTGAAACCTGAGCATCAGATAGGTATGGGTGGATGCTGCACACGATATTTCCTTGCGCAATCTTGAAAACCCGCGAGAGGCCTCGCTCAGAAATGCTCACTCCAAAGTTGTTATTAGGGGTGATCAGGATGTCTCTAGCTCTGCTGCCACCGATGCGGAGGATATTTTCACCTGTTTCCGTCCGCCACACGTAAATATCTCCAGCCGAGAGTGACACCAGGTGGATGCCGTTTGGGGAAAGCTGCAGTTTTTCCACAGGCCCAGTATGCAGGAAGTTAACATGTGGAAGTCCCGTGTCTAGACTCCACTTCCACACCTTCTCCGACCCATCTCTGGTGTAGAACCACACGCCTGTTTGCTCCACCACCACCTCCTTTACTCCACCGCCCATTTTCTGTGCACTTCCTGCAGCATCAATCATCTCGGAGTCCCACACTGTCAGGCAGCCATCGTGACTGACACAAATGACATCTGAGGCCATTTTGAGGAGTGTGTGTGGCTGCTTGTTCGTTTCTAAGGAGAGCACACACTCCCCACTGCTGACCCTCCACACCAAGATAAAGGTGCAAGTGTCTAACAAAGCCAGGAAAAGATGGCCATCCTGGGAGAGCACAGCTTGAGTGAAGGCTCTTCCCTGTGGAGCCAAGAACTGGTCCCACAGCTCCCAGTTACAAGTATCCCACAGTGAAGCCTGGTGGGCTTGACACATCAAAAGAGTATTGATTTCACTGCAATAATCTGTACTGAGTATGTTAGTAGAGTAACCCTGAGTGAAACTTTCTTTCACAAGTCTGGGTGGTTGTGTATTGGCTGCCACGTCCCATAAAGCTACACTTCCAGTCCTATCAACACATGCCATTTCCCTCTTGTCTTCATGGAGGATGATCAGCGTAACAGCGCTGTGGTTTGAGTTTGAGCAGGTGCTAAGCAGACTGCTGGATTTCATGTCAAATACGGACACTGTGCCTTCCTCCTGCCCACAGTACATGAAAAAACCATCAGAGGAGAACACTGAACAGGTCACAGGGCTCTGACACTGGAAATGAGTTAGGGTTTCACTGGAGATGTCAAACACGCTCACAAAACTCTCATCTTTCCACCACACGGACAGCGTTTTCTGATGTGCGACGAATCCCTCGATGTTGCTGGGTGTTTCGCTCGACTCGCACGTGTTTTTAAAAGGGTCTTTGACCTCGAGAAACTTTTCTGGGCCTTCCACATCCCACACGAAAAGCTTGCTGCAGCTTGTGGAAAGCAGGAGGAACGGACCGCTGCTCTTCACGCCTGCAAACTTTAACTCTGTCTGCTCGCATCTGAGTGACAGTTTGGCCACATCATATCCACACCCTTTCCAAATCCAAGCAGAGCCTTCATCTGTGATCTCGGCAACAACCCCACACTTTGTACCGGCGATCTCTCTGACACAAACGCCCTTATTTATGTCATCGTACTTTAAGTACTGAATGTGGGGAACACAGGGAGGACTGGGGCAAAGCACTATTTCTAATCCACTTCCTCTCCCTTCCTTGGTTTCCCTGACATAACCCTCAAGAGCAGGAAAGACCTCCAAATAGGGGAGGAGGTTTGTCTCCATCACTGAGGGCAGCTGCAGAGGTGAGCTCTGCAGGAAGCAAGCAGAAGACTTCAATGTGCTTGCTAGTAGCAGCCTTTCTCTTACAAACTTAACCTGAGATGACTCCTCTTCAGTCTCCAACATAGCTAGCAGATCTCCAAGAAGATCAGCTCGAACCATAGCCTGGTGAAACCCAAATGACAGCAACAGCACGCACTCAAACTCCTTCCACCTGCCACTCTGCTGCAGGTGATACGGCAGTTCTACGATTTTTCTCACATTCACCCGACCACCACCTTTGATTGAAGTGAATACAAACGGCTGGCTGGGTTGCCGAGTGTCTGTGTGTGTTTTTAAGGCTGCATCCTTGTTTACGCCTGACGTCTGTCCACTAAAATAGTCGGCCATCTCAGAATGAAGCCTTCTTCTTACATCAGGAGCGTCTAAATACCTTTTCGCCACGACCAACTTGAAATGCCTGCTCACCCAGAACAAAACCAGGGAACCTGCAACTTTCCGTTGGATAAGAAAGCTCTTTAAATCCAAAAGAAGTCTCTCCACATCGACTTGTGGGACTGTCATCTTAAATGAAGAGCCTTTGTGCGGCAAATCTTCCTTAATGGACAGCAAATCGGCGAGCTCAGCCTCTGTGAGCCCAGACCTGGAGATGGTGAGGTAAGAGACGGTGCGAGCCACGATGGAAGAGAAATGTTTCTGCTCAAGGTGATCCAGGAGCGCAGAAATAGATGAATGAACGCCATCGGGGAGAGATGACTCAGTCACATCGGAATCTGAAGACAAGGAGAGAAGAGGAGAATTATTTAAAAGGCCAAGTGGTGCTATCCTGATTTTTGGGGGGGGTATTTCAAAAAATGCAACTTGTGAAGACAAAAGTACTCTGATCTAAATAGTTTCATTATTATTCAAAAACAAATCTATGAAAAACACACAGCCATGTGGAAAAGAGCACTTTCATGGGACTCCATGCAGTTTTGTGACAAACTAAGTACACCCCATGATTCAGCAGCTTGAAAAGACACCTTTACAGTTTTTTCTGATAGCTTAAGCACATTTTTTGTAACTATTGGCTAATTTTGCAAAACTCTACACACAAATAAGAAAACCTGTCACCCAATAATCAAAACATTGTAGTTCTCTTGCAAAAGCAAACACAGCTGGATTAACTCTTCACACCTTCGTAAAAATGGTGTTTCCGTATCAAACAGTACACACAAGCCATCATCTACTAAGCACACAATGCGCCAACTGCACACTGATGGTATGAATACAAAACACATCTGGCTTTTGCTTCCTCTGTGCACAAGGTAGGCTATGTCAGTTTGAGCTCATACTTCTGTCATAGATCCATAAGCATAGAGGGATCCAAACTTCAAGTACATCAAAACAAACACAAGTGTTTATTTCCAAGTATAGGATTATTTGCAATCGCCATAATGACTATATGGGTTACTTGGTCTGCAGTGAACATGCTTCCCCTGCCCCAGCATCTGGTCATCTAGCAATTCTGTAAAGTAACAATTTCAGTATTTTTACATCAATGGTATTGGTGTGTTTCTCATTGGCATATGGCAGTGCTACGAATCTTTGTGCAAAGTGACTGTACTAACCGATTCTCATTTCAAGATGTCCTTATGGTACTTGCTACAGTGTAGCGGCTCGAGTTAGGCTGGACCCGTTGGCCAGCTACCCTCAGGGTCATTCCACGGTTGATTACATGGTCCACTATTGTAGCTCTGATGTCATCAGCAATTCTATTTCTTACTCTTCCTACCCTTCCTCTCCCCCCTTCTCATCTTCCTCTTGCTCCTCCTTGTCCTTGTCGTCCTCTTCATCCTACTTCTTCACCTCCACGTCCTCTTCCTCGGCCTCCTCTACTTCTCACTCTTTCTGCTCCCTCCATTGTACTCCGCACACACAGCTTACCTGTATTATAGTGCTTAGGCTGATTGCAAAGTGAACTAATTATCTAAAAAAGTTTTCACATGTGAAATTGTGCCAGACAGTTGGCAAATTAGTGTTAATGATAGCCATACATGTGTATACTTTTGCTAGGAGTGTGTTGGAAATTTGGTAATTGAGTGTTGTGCAGTGAATTGTGCCTACAGTTTTGCAAAGTGTGTGTTACAAAATTGCAAACTGAGTGCAAAGCAGTTTTTGTGCTTTTAGTTTTGCAAACTCAGTGAGTGGTTTTGCTATAAGTCTGGATAGTTTTAGAGATTGTGCTACAGGAATCACAGTTAGGGTTTAAGCATTCAGAAAAAACTGTAACAGCAACAGCTTGAAGTGTGACTTTATCAGCGTCTCACGTCGCGAGGTGTGCGCATGCAGGAATCAAGCACAGAATGGCAGTGGCAACCTGGTCGACCGCATCCTGTCCGCATATCCTCCGATGCACTGTGAGATACATCATGTAGTTTGATGACTTGCAGGAGTTGTGAATGAATTTCTGCCTGCTTTTTCTTGAGAATGGTGCTTCCGTTCATTGAGGTTTGTGGGCATTCATTTACGCACAGCTCTCTTAAGATCCCGCTACAACATTTCAGTCAGGTTGAGGACGTTGACTGGGCTGTTTGCAAGACCTCTATTCTTTTCTTTTTCAGCCATTCTGTTGTAGATTTGGTGCTACATGATGATTATTGTCCTGCAACATAAGTATTTAATATACAGAGGAATTGTTCGGACTGTTTCTAACTTTACTGTACATTTAACATGCTAACTGAGACCCGAGAGTCTGAGATGTATCTCGTGTATCTTGTTTTTTTGGTTTGTTTGTTTTTGCAGTTTCCAGCTTCTGTTGCGATTCTAGTATCGTGTTAAGACTCCAGACCAGCAAACTGCCAAAACTTTTATAGAGGTGTTCACACTTGCTGATGATCACCTTAGCACCTTAGCATGCTTAGCAGCGTCTGGCTATTCCTGTGAAGCAATAAGGGTGTACTTAGTTATAACGCTCTTTTTCACATGACTGTAAGTGACCCACATCACATGTGGGTTTAGTCTTTGTGTGGCATTTGTAGCTCTGAAAACAAGACTTATTCCTTTGAGAAACTGTATTTTTGTTTACTCTATTAGTAATACCAGAGCGCCAGAGCGAGGTGTGTGCATGAAGGAGGCGAGCATAGAGCGGCAGACAACAGCGAGCGAGAGCCTGGTTGACCAGAGCTTGTTGTCCAGACGTCACCCTCCTTCCTGAACCTTTCAGCAGAGATGCCAGCATCTGTACGCTCTGTTTCCTGTCCACCAGTCCCAACTGTATACACAACCTTCCTGTACACATGTCCTCTGATACACTCTGAGATGCATAGTGTAGTTTTATGGCTTGCAGGAAGTGTTCTCGATTGGAGGAAGCTGTGACGATGAGTTTGACAGCGGGAGGAAGGGGCCTGGGAAGGCACTCAATGATTTGAAGACCAGTGTTGTTTTTGAGTTGATCTAATCCATCAAGAATAAGGACAAGAGGCTTTTCAGTTGAAGGCAGGTGGCTGATGAGGGATGAGAGGTGTTCTTTAAGTTCAGACAGACAAGCGTCGGGTTTTATGTTGCCAAAATCCAGCTGTCTTTGATCTGGATGTTGAGCGGTACTCCAGCTTTGCTTGCAGTCAGAAACATGCTCTTTGGTGCCGCCCTCATGTTGGGAATCCAAAACAGATGTTTGGCTACAGCTGGATGTGACCTCTCTGGGGTCGGTGGTACTGCCAGGATCATCCAGGTCACTGCAGTGGCTAGCATCCTGCTTAGACAAGGAGTCAGTGAGATATCTGCAGGATATCTGATAACACAAGCTCGACAGCAGATGCTTTGGTGAAGCATTAATTGATAGGTTGCAGAAAAAACTGATCACCACAGGATCGCTGTCTGCAAGCCAGTGCTTCATCTGTGGAAAGAGAGAGATAGCTTTAAGCGTCAGTGAAACATATGCACACAAAAGGCACAAATTCTTATTACAAATTATATATAAACACTATATGCCTGCTTCAAATTTCCCTTTGGTCCACCTACCTGCTGAGTGCAGTGTGCTAGCAGGACCGTCTTTCCTGTACACGGGCCTCCGGTCACTACCAGAGGGAACTGATGGTACCTCTGCTTCACATAGGCTCTGACCTGCAACCAATAAGAGCAGAGCTATGCTGCAGGTGTATAAATAAGGAAAAATGAATTATACAAACATGTCATGTTTTAATATTTCTAACTGCACACAGAACAAAAGTGCCTGTATTGTCAATGTAAATAGTATATTCTAGTCTGTAAAGGCTAAAACCATCCTGACCTTTTCCTCCTCGGGCTGAATGACGTCATAAAACCGACTGAGGATGTCACACAGCTGCTCCTGTTCGGCCTGCTCTCGGGATAAAACGTCACAGAGGGGAGAAGGTTCTGCGCTTTGAGAAACGTTCAGACCGTCAGTCATCTGCACAAGGTCACAGTACACCTGCTGGCACAGAGAATCAGCATAGCCGCGCCTCCTAGCTGATGTGTAACCATGGCGGCGGTCGCACTCTGTGGTGATGGTGTAGACTAGAAGTTGGCGGGAAGTGACGAGATGAGGGAGGAAGCACTCACACAGCTCTGACAGTAACTTTTCGTTAGTGGGTGATGAACTCAGAGTGGCATCCTGGAAATAAAGAAGAGGGAACTTTTCACAGTGGACTTAAATAAAAAGGGTACAAATTGTGAATTCTACATATCCCTTTAGTAAAATAAAGTTTCAAGAGTGGTCAGAAAGATTAAATTTTATTTTAGTTCATCCTTTTCCTGACGTCTCCCATAATTAAACATGGTGTGGCGGGGCGTGGTCTATCGTTGTGTGCCTCAACTTTACAGGGTCTAAAAGTCTGTGCTGACTGCTATAAGGTTGTTGTTGTTGGAGTGTATATTCGGCTGGCGACTGGAAAGCCGCAGCTGCGTGATTGTGTACAGCAACCGCGTCAATAAAGATGGTGAAAAGCATGGAAACGTGGTCGGGTCTGTTGTGCATCTACTACACATGGCTTTTACCTCCAACTTTGACTGTAGTTGTATTTTCACAGGTCCCTTTTGTCTCTCTGCTTTTGCATTGATGATCTTGTGGACATAGACCAAGCAGCGTCTGCCGATGTCACTCTCAGGACAGCTTTCCAGAGCATAATGCAGATCTGCATCGAGGGCTGGAGACAAGTGGTAAAGCAAATGTTTACTTACACAACAAAAATTCCTTCCAACTACAGAAGATATTCCAAGGCATAGACGCAGGCTGCCCATGACACTAACAACAGTGGATTATGACAAATGACTTGACACACACACACACAGCTATGTGGGGTATTTCACCTGATCTGTAGAAGATTTTGGCCCTCTCTGGGGTCATGCTGCCACTTTGGACACACAGACTCACAGCTGCCTGAAACAGCTTCCTCAGTTCTTCCTCTTTAGTCTTGGTTTTGCTTTCCTCCTTCACCTTATTTCTTTCCTGCTGCGGAGGGAAAATATCCAGTTTATTAAAGCATTATAAATATAAATCATCCTCACATACACTATAAACACAATGTACTTGATTTAAGGACAAAATGTGTGATTCGATGGGATGTTTCTAAAACCTCAATAAGATTTTAAATGATGCATAATACAAGTTGAAATCGCATTACTTTATATTATATAACATTCTAGTTCATAATTAAAAAATAAAGTCATAAAATTATACCATCGACTTTAATTACCAGAGAATAGCTGCGTCTGTGCGGAGCTCTCAGGCAGTAGGTCGTAGGGATGGTGTTCTCGTCCCGCTGATAAACTTTCTCCAGCTCCTGTGTACTGACGCCAGCCTCCTGACACTGCTGCAGCAGCAACTGCAGCTCTGACACCTCCACCTGAGCGGGCACACGGGCTGTGCCATACTGATGCCCTACCAGAGCCTGCAGCACCACCGTGTGGTCACAGGAGGAACAACAGCACGGGGAACTATTGTTTAGTATGGTAAGCTGGTAATTTATTAAGCTGATTACTATACAGAACATCTGCTTAAGAGACAACTGTGTGATGCTACACGTGTGATTTTGTGTCTTTTACTTATATTGGAAAGTGTTTCTATTATTTTGTCCATTTGTTGACACGGCTCAATGACAGAACTGTTCTGCAGCCGTGATGATAAGTTTAATTTAAAAAGGAGAAAAAACATAGCACAGTGTAGATGACTTTGCAAAGTCCAGCATACTCCAGAAAGGGTGAAAAGCTTTTATTTTTAGAGTTCATAATACTAAAAACTGATAAAATTCAACAATAAAACTTTGACTACAACTCATGGCAAGGTGCTGATGTCCTTTAGAGCATGTCATCATTCATTGTACTGAGAAGTAAGGGTCAGTCTGAGATCCTGTTGGTTTACACTTGAGATTCTCCCCAAGGACTTTATTTACCAGTAAAAAAGGTCCAGCTGAGCTTCCTCTGCATTCATGTATCATCTGATGCCTGGTGTCTTCATCTGGCCAGCGACTGGGATCACTGGATTCAAACGGGTCTATCACCTGCCGACATAAACACACTCAAGAGTTAAAAAATGTGGAGTGGAAATAATAAATCAAGAAAGCTGAGCCCAGATCCAGTGAGAGCAAGCGTCTAAGGTGGGGTGAGGCATCACGGTCTTTATTCTGTCTGCTGATTGCACACACCACAATGTGCTGACTGAACTGTCCCAATGTTTATTTAATACACATGAACGAAAACCAACACAGACAGTCGCCTCACAGCTGCTCATTCTCTTTGTTGTCAGATATAATTAAGGCACATTATTGACTGCATCAGTGGCCTCAGGGAAAACGGTGGAAGACTAAAAGTACAAATACCTGCAAGCAGCTAAAATGCTACTGCTGTCACCCCCCGTCGCTGGCGACATTACGCATGGGTGTCTTTGTGATGGACCACACGGAATATTAATGAGACTTTACTTTTATAGCTTCAAGATTTTGTGTTTTCTATCTTGTTTCTCTAATAAAGAGATGCATATTTCAAGGATCTTTCTATAAAGAGTAAAAAAAAAACCTTTAATTTAATTACAAACAACCTTAAAGCAAAGCAGTTTTACAACGTGTCCTCCAGTGGACCATATCTAGTTCTCTTCCCAGCACTAAAAGTCATTAGTGTGAGCATTTATGCCATTAAAGTAATCTCGTTTTAATGTATAAAGCAACAGTGCCCACATCCTTCCTTAGCCTGTTTATGGCTTTAAAAGAACAGAAAGAATTCCCAAGAAAAACACAACTCACACGCACACTCACATCTACTGTTTCACTGACATGTTTTCGATGCAACAGGAAGGTTTTAAAAAAGTAAAGTGTGTGCTCACCCTGACATCCAGTGCCAGCGAGTGTCTGCAGTGCTCTCTGAATCTGGGGAACACACTGTCCCTCAGAGCTCTACGCTCCACCACGCTGTCTGTACACAACACAAACAGGATGCACCTTAACAAGAACTCAAATGACACAAGAAAACATGATACAATCTAACATGCGTATTTTTTAAAAACACACCTAGTTACAGCTGCCTTTCATATTAGGAATCACTGCCTACCTTCTGGGTTGGAGCACAGGTAGATTTTCACACAAGATGTGCTGAAGCCAGAATCCAAAGGGGATTTTCCTCCGGTGTGCATGCCTGATAAACAGCTGCTGTTCAAATAACAAAACACAAGGAGGGAAAACTCCTGGCAGGAACTTATCGCGCGTCCCAAACGGAGAGCAGCTCTGTGTCGTCTCTGCTGCTGTGTCTCATGTTCCTGCAGCTCCGCTCAGGAAGTTTGGCCTCGGGTGCTCTGGAGCGTGTTATCATGATCACACCCACTTTTGCTCAAACATCCACACAAACACGCTCAGTCTGAAAAAATCGATGTGTGCAACTTTTCAACTTTTCCATATTTTTTATTAATTAACATTTGTACACAATAAATACAAACTTTGTTTTTTGTTGTCGTTTTTTGTACATCCAATAATAATATGCAGAAAGACTTTTGCACCTGTTCTCAATATTGTCACCATGGCAACAGTCTATTAAAGAGAGAGGCCAGTTGTTCCACCACATCGTTAATAATAACGGCAGCTGTGCTACTCTGAATCCACATAAGGAAAAATAAAGTGTCATTTAAAACATAAAAACCATACCAAATAATTAAACACTGTCGCGGACCAAAGAGACTGTTAAAGATGGGAAACGATCCGTCTTCAAAGTGGCAACTGGCAATGAAATGTCAATTTTATATATGACAGACTGACTGAGTAAGTATAACGGGAATGTCTGCGGATGCTGAAAAACCATAAACTTCAAAACAAGTTCGAAAACCAGTAAAAATCAGATCTCAGAGAGATCAAGGACAGGCTGCTGTTCCAAGTCGCCTTGACCACACTGTCACAAGTCAATGCTAGTCCGTACAACAGCAGAAGAGCAGAGGGTCGTATCTAAAAATGCAACTAATTCCAGCATGCTTAAGTTTGCTAGGATGAATGCTACACAAAATGTTGTGGTTTCACTTCTTACTTCTCCTTTTAGAAATCACCTCCACCGGGGAAAACAATCGATTTGCTTCCAGATTAAGACTTTTCTTACAGGAGACCTGAAGATGTGCTCCAGTGCAACACTACATAGTAATGCTAAGAGTTTTAAATTTAATATTCACAGTTCTTCTTTTGTTTTTGTTTTGCAGTAGGGATGTTATCTGAGACAAAGAAAGAGGATTACTGCCTGAATGTTCAGTTTTATCTCCTGCTGACAATTTGGACAATACTCTACTTTGCAATTTATTCCGTGCAAACGCTCTCCAAACTTGTTCATTTGCAGTGAGGAACTGGGACATATCTTCAGAGTCAAACACAGATTAGATTAAAATTCCTCCTCTCTCTCTTATAAACAATCACACTCATAAACACCCAGGCCTATTTCGAGACCAAAAAAAGAAATGATTCATTCAAACGCATCGCTTTCTGTAATTTTTGTTTGTTTTGTTCTTATAAATAAAGGAGAACAGCGAATTTCACTGTCCACAGTCGTCTCTCCACCTCTTTGGAAGAGCTGGGAGAGTGGAGATCTTTATTTGTGTTTGTTTTGTTTTTTAAGCATCAGTCACACTGAAACAAAAAAAGTCCATAGGATCAGCTTAAAAAGAACAACTCTGAATCATTTTAACAACAAGGATTCATCAGAGTCTTTGCCACCCGTGCCGATGCTATATGAGGGTACTGCTACTTTCCAAGTAAGGTAGAAATTAATAAAAGTGCTACGCTGCCCTTCAGGCAAGGAGTTTCAAAGGCTTTATGGCCATGTAAAGGGAAATGGGGGCATTTATTTACTTTGAGTAAAAAAAAACCACACACAAAAGATTTGTACTTAGCTCCATTTGAATGTCATTTGCTAGTTCTGTCCATTTAGTTCGATTTTTTTTCTTTACACACCTCTTTCTGTTTTCTGTTTCTAGCATTAGGACACAAGATGTGGTGGCTTTGCTTGGCGAGAGAAAAATTATACCTGCAAATGTAATGAGCGTCAAGTAAACGTGCGTCTTAGTTGAACTGAACAGTGAACAAATCGGCATGAGAGGGATGAAAACTATACAGTTCTGTGCTAATAAGAAGTCCCGGCCACAAATACTTTCCTGTGTCTACATCATCTGAAATAAAACTTTTCTTTGTTGCCACATAGTGAATACCAACAATTTGAGTGCCTTTAAAAGCACCAGCAGCGCATCTCTGAACCAATCAGTGATACAGACATACGGCGCACAGAATGAGAGAATGTATCTGTCGTATAATGTATCTGCATGTGTGTATGTATATGATAGTCACTGATTCACACTGACTGCCAATGGACAGAATCGTCTTTAGAGGAAAGAGGGAGAGACGTAAAGGAGGGACGGGAAGAGAGGCGATGCTAAGAGCAGAGGGAAGGATCCAGCCTCCTTTATCTCTCGTTTTCTTTCATCCTCTCCCTCCTTTGAGCTCTCCTTCCTGCTGTATTTACAATGCCCCTTCAGTATAAGATGAAGATAAAACTTCCACTACATATCAGACATGGTATTCCATTCAGCTGAGTTAGTCTATATGAAATGCTGAGCATAACATTCCTATGACGACAGTAATGTACTGTACTATTACACATTAAATACGTATGATGATAATGACTATATATGACGAGGGAAGGCCTAAGGAGAGGGACACTGCGTCCACGCACACCGCTCAATTTCTCTGGTCGTTCACTTCGTTCTCCACTGCTCTCCAAAAACGTGACAGACTTGGCATGTTTTTACTTACATTTCAGCCAGCTTTCTTTGGATGGGCCCACAACACTCACAAAAGGTAAGGAAAAGGTATCAGATAAGAATCAGACTTTTTTAAAAACAAAAACAAAAGCAAAACTAATGCCCCCGGGAATACAGTAGCAAAAAGCAGATTGTTTATTTCCATCTGCACTGAATTAGATTGGGCTCTCTTCTTTGGGCCGAAGCAACACCTGTACATGACGCTGCAAGCAACACTGACCATTGATTAAATCACACACACAGCATGAAAAGCATGAGCTGGGTTGCAAAGTGGCTTGCAGATGTGTGATAACTGTAAAGAGGCTAAAGCAACGTAAATATTGCATCCAGTATGATATCTGCCAACAAGATCCATACTAAGTTATCAGCTGTTCATGTGGGCTGCCATTTAAGTCAGCTTCTGCCTTTAGGGGTCACCACAATCAATCATCTGCCTCCATCCCACCCTAATTTTATAGTTATAGTGTATTGAATTATATGTTTGGTTTGTCTGATAACCTTTTACTACATTTTGTCAGTTCTTGGGGCTTCAAAACTTTTCTCGTGCTTCATGATTATTTATTGGGAAGAGAAAAAATCTAAATATTGACTCTGATCTGCTTCTGCAGAAAGATGAATGGTCTTATGGAAAGCTTGACAACAGAAAACTTGCCAAATCCGTCATCTGTCACAAATAGCTTTTTCCCATCCTCCTCCTCTCCTGACATTCTTCCTCTGCTTCACCGTGGTGTGATTTGCTGCCCAGTGAGGTGAGGTTTTAAGGCAAGAATGAAAGGACGGGGTAGGGTGAAGGGATCGGGGGTGTGTGGGCTACTGCTGCACTTCATTAGGAAGCTAATACGGAGATTATTACATCGGATAGTCTGCCTTTGTCCCCTCTCTCTGCTCTCCTCCTCCTCAGCTCAAAGGGAGAAGATACGGAGCTGCCAGGAGTTCAGGAGATTGGGGCGGGGGGAGGGGTCAGCGTGGTTCAGTTCAGTTTACTTCACATCACTTTATTTAACTTCACTTCAGTTCCCAAGTCTGTAGGATACATCTGCCTTTCATCTGTTTTCATTTCTGTTTGTGCGCCTATAACCGGCTGTCAGTTTGTTTGTCTGTCACACCAGCGTGATCTCCACCTCCTCCGTCTTGTCACTCTTCTCCTGCTGTCGGCGGGGGTGCTGCTTGGGTGGAGGAGGAGCGGCTCGCACCTGCAGCGGAGAAAGAAAACACATTAAATACAAGAGTAAGGAAAAGAAAGAAGCCAAAGTGAGAAAAACTGAAGTCAAGGTGATAATAGGGGCGACCTACTTTTCTTAATTTGACAAACAGTTAAATGTTCACATCCTGCTGCGAGACACAAATGTGTTATCAACGAACAGGAAAAGTAGGGAATTGTCTGCTTTTAGACTCTAACAAAAAAAACTGTGTTTTCAACCTATTGTTGGGATCTGTAGGTCACACAGTTTAACGAACACTTAAGTATCCTTCACATGTCATCAGAGCACAGCGTGCCAAACCATCTTCGAAAAATTGACGGTTACTTATATGTCATACATTCATCTGCTGATTATTTTCTTCATTAGTTTCTTTAAGTCCCTGTGAAATCCTGTGCCGTGACATACACTGTAATCTAACTACATGTCACGCTGATGCGGCCCGCAGTGAACGTTTATTTCTTGCTTCTCTTCTTTTTCTGATGCCTTTTTTTAATCGAGAAGAAGACAATGAATTGAGTTGAAGAGAGAAACCTCACCGCCGACTAGTGTTTCAGTGGCAAAATTACAAAGTAACACAGGCACAACATCACAAGTGTAAATGCTAGCAATGATGTCAGCCACTTGCAAAGGCTAAGCAGCAGGGTGGGGTTGTGGGCCGGACCAGTGAAACTCCCGTTTCTACCAGTGTAAAGAAGTTCAACTACACTTTTAATCCAGGAGATGTCTTGAAAGAGATCTTTCAAGACATCTCCTTTCAAGATGTCTGTTGAAAGAAAAGGAAGTGCAGTTTACAGCCGTACATGTCATTTTTTGTCTGTGATAAAGAAATGTTGTGCACCCTACACTCTGAATGAATGTTTTCATATAGAGTGAAACAGCATGGTCTTTTGTTTATCTATGGCTAAATTACTGTGGCGTAGTATGAATGAGGATGAAGAGGTCTTTGTTGCTGGGAAAAGCCATAAAAAACCCAGAAAGATCTTTGACCACTAAAATCTAATCCATTTGCAAATTTGGATGCATTCCCTCTGCGCTTTCCAGAGATGGGAGGAAATAAAAAGACAGCTCGAACACACAAACACTCACACACACACATTGTGCACAAAAAAACACTTCTTGAGTAACACTGATACTAACAGGTCGTAGTTTGCCCGGGCCTCCTTCAGGAGTGAATCTTGGCGGCTGAGTCTTAGCAAATCCTGGAGATACTGGACTCCTGCCAGAGCTTTGATCTAGAGTGAGCGAGACAA